ATTCAGCCTGCACAAGAGAACAACAACATGCGTAACACACCGCAGATGGCGTTTCGTGCATACGTGGTCGACTGCAGTTTTCTCGAGGTAGATATGCCCCGTTGTTCTTAACCGTACGTTTTCATAAAGAAGCACAACAGGCGGAGAATGAATCTCCCGTGCTCATTCCTGGTGTTCTATGAAAAGAGCTTCAACATGTCACACACATACAGAGGCCTCTACTTGTCTACGCGATGTCGCGTTAGTAGTCCAACGGTTAGGATACCTGCCTTCCAAGCAGGCGACCCGGGTTCGACTCCCGGCTGACGCATGAGAACTAGTTTCCTTACGTGTCCCTTTGTGGCTGTTTTGTGGGAACTACCAAGGTATCCCGTGGGAGACGGATGCACACGTAGGAGGAGGGAGTGAGTGGTGGGCGCGTAGCGCTGGTGGCACTTGAATAGGGAATGTCCATTTTTCCTTTTTCTCCAAATAAAAATGAAGAAGGAAGATGAACATTAAGCAACAGTGAAAAAGATGCGTCAGCCGGGAGTCGAACCCGGGTCGCCTGCTTGGAAGGCAGGTATCCTAACCGTTGGACTACTAACGCTCGGCGAGTGTGTTCACGTGCTTTTCCCTGATCATTCACAATTTTATGCACTAACATCGATCTGCAGCCAGTATAATAACATAATAGAAAATATTTATGAGCTGTTACAAATGGCGCAGGAAGAAGAGCTGGCTGTTTGAGAGTTGAGGGGTTGTCGGCGGCGCGATCTCTGCTGCCTCCTTGCTATATAGAGTAGTTCATATATATTATTAGACATAATTTAACTCTAATTAATCTTTTCTTTACGTTTTCATGCTCATTTATTCCTTTGGAATCATCATTGCATGGAGCGTGAGGGGCCCCAAGGATATTTCTCCTTGTGCGGTGCTGCAGCAGCTAGGGGCCCCCCCAGGGGCCCCCACGCACAGTAACTCTAATTAATCTTTTCTTTACGTTTTCATGCTCATTTATTCCTTTGGAATCATCATTGCATGGAGCGTGAGGGGCCCCAAGGATATTTCTCCTTGTGCGGTGCTGCAGCAGCTAGGGGCCCCCCCAGGGGCCCCCACGCACAGCTCCTATTAGGGCGTCTGACTTTGGCGCCCCACCACAGAGAACAGCAAGGAGTAATTTGACGCCTGAAGTTTGCTCTCTTTCTCGCTGCAGCAGCAGAAGTGTTTTCTTTTTTAATTCATGGACAGTAGAAGCAGAACTAGCTATTTGTGCGGCGCTGCTCAGTAACACTCGAAACCCTAAACCCGTATCCCTAAACCCTGAAGACAGGGAATAAGCAAAACAGAGCCAATGATGAACTTTCTTTCCCTAGTGAGGGATAGAGAAGTAAGAGGATACCGCCTCTCCTGCTGCTGCAGCGGTGCAGCCGCAGCAAGCAACTATAGGGTTTTGCTGCTAGCACTCAGCTGATGCAGCAGCTGTCTAGGGTTGTTTGTGTGAAGCAGAGACAGCTGCGTGTTGGGCGGTTTTCACTGGTGTATGCCTGCGCCCTGCCGCTGTTGCTGTTTCTGCTGCTGCTGCTGCTGCTGCCTCGAGGCGGCGACGCCTACAGCTATGGGGCCCACCACAAGATATCCAGCGATGCGAGCGGTGTTTCGTTTGTATCAAACTTAAGGGGCCCCCGTGGTCGAAGGGCCCCCCTGGGGCCCCCGCAACCAGGTGGACTCTTCACGGTACCCGGGGGCCCCAGGGGCGCCGGGCCCCCCCGACGCAGCTCCTTTTTAAGCCCTTTAATAACAGCTAAACTAAAGGCTGCCCCAATTCGTATAGATGATGCAGGGAAGGGGACAACAAAGGGAGGAGGGTCGGCAAGGGACGTTCTTCCTAGCAAGCCATGGGCTGCAGAACAGCAGTTCCTGCATGCGCTGCTGCTGCAGGTGCTGGCGCAGCAGGTGCGCATGCAGGGCTTGGTGCGGCGGCAGCAGCAACATCACCACCACCAACACCACCAACAGCAGCAGCAGCAACAACGACAGTACGAGAAGCAGAATGAGCAACATGACGAGCAGCAGCAACATCATCAGCAGCACATGCAGAAGCAGCAACCAATGCAGGAGCAGCAGCAGCAGCAACAGGATAGCTGCGTGCCTGTGCTGCATCTCTATGAGAAGAAGGATGGCTCTTGTGTAACAGCAGCAGATTGGGCGTCACAGGTAGCCATCCTTAATACAATAAGGCAGCAGTACCCAACAGATGTCTTTATTGCTGAGGAGACACTTAATATATTTGCCCCTCTTCTACCTCATGGGGGCCCCTGTAGCAAGGGGCCCACACACCCTGACGAGGAACGACGCACTGCAGCAGCAGCAGCAGAAACAACAGCAGGAGGAGCAGGAGGAGGAGCAGCAGCCGCAGCAGCTGCAGCAGCTGCGGCACACGAGCAGCTTCTTATCGAGTTGGATCTTCCAAGACAGAAGCAGCTACAAGAGGAGGAGGAGGGGGGGCCCTGTACCTTTGCTTCTGCTGATACCCTGGTTGAGGGGCCCCCCTCCCCTACTAAGTCCTTACAGGCGACGACTGACCGCATGCAGTTGCTGCGGGAGGTTGTGTGGTTGCTGTCTGAGGGGGCCCCACAGCACCTCCGTTCCCTCCTGCAGGACGGACTGCAGGAAGATGCTGCAGCAGCAGCGACAACAGCAGCAACATCAGCAGCAGCGAGGACAGCGGAGGCGTGCATGCACAGTGGGGACCCTAAGGAGGGGGCAAGCGGACACAATTGGGTTGGGCCCGCTACAGTCACCTTCCTTAAGGGACTGCAGCGGCTGCTGCGGCGGCCCGGGGGATTTGCAAGACAGGGAGAGTCTGCCGACCCGTCAGCAGCAACAGCAACAGCAGCAGTAGCAGCAACAGCAGCAGCAGGTGATAGAAAAGTGGCGCAGCAAATGCGTCACTGGCTTGTTGATCCAATTGATGGATCGCGAGGCGTCTTTGGAGAACAGCGAGGCTTTTGCTTCTCTACAGCTGTCGCCCTTTTGGTGGGCCCACAGCAGCAGCAGCAGCAGCAAGTGCAGCAGCAGCAAGTGCAGCAGCAACAAGAGCGGCAAGTGGAGCAGCAACCTCAGCGCTGTCCGCAGCAGCAGCACATGCCTTCACCACCTACGACGTCCAAACGGCCTGAACAGCAGCAGGAGCTACATAAACACCCGCAGCAACAGCAACAGCAGCAGCAACAGCAGCAGCAGCAGCCAAGGGTAGTACTGGCTTCTATCTGCTGCCCTTCTTACGACTTGTGGCGCAGCAGCGGCAGCAGCAGCCTTTTGCCCTTCTGTACACCTAGGGGCTCCCCGTCTTTAGGGCCTTCTGACCCTACCCAGCAGCAACCGGCTGCTCCTGCTGCCTCTGCTTCTGCTGCTCCTCCTCCTGCTACAGCAGCACCTGCTGCAGCAGCTGGGCATTTGCCTGCCGAAGGTAGTGGCATATCAGACACAGAGAAGGGGACCATGGGACCCTCTAAAGGCGGTGGAGATTTGAATGGTACAGCCCGGGGGGACAAGGGGCCCCCAGAAGGGGCCCAAGGCCCCCCAGGAGGGGCCCAGGGGCCCACTGCAACGGCCCAAAGGCCCTTGGTTTGCGCTGAGTTTCTTCGAGGGTGTGTGCTAACAACAGCAGAGGGCCTCCCTGCAAGACTCACAGTGAGAGATGTGCTTACAGGAGAATTGCTGCACCTCGTGCAGCAACAGCAGCAGCAGCAACAGCAGCAGGAGCAGCAGCAGCAGGAGCAGCAGCAGCAGGCACGCGCTGCGTTTGTTCCGGTGGCCGACTGGCCACTATGTGACAACCCTAACCATCGAGAGGTTGGGGTCTCCCCTGCAGCAGAAGAGACAGCAGCACCTGCATTAACAGAAGGAGCAATAACAGCAGCAGCAGGAGCTGCTGCTCCTGTCCCCTTTCGCTGGACAGTGTCTGTGCCGAACTATAAGCAGACGCATCCATTGTTGCAGCAGCATTTATCGGGGTCCCATAGGACTGCAGCAACGAGTCCCTTGTTGCTGTCTCCTAAGAGTAGCCTCATGGGGCCCCCTGCCTCCTCGGGCCCCCATGGGGCCCCCCAAGGTCGTACGGAGACGGGGGACATGCTGCCCTTAAGCGGGGACTCCCAAGAGGAAGCACCGAGGGTCACCAGCGGCGGGGTCCCTCAAAGAAGGTACCCCCCTTTGAGGCCCTCTCTCCTGGGGGCCCCTAGAGGGCAGCAGTTTCTGTCTCTTAGATGTGGTCATGTAGTAAAGTACCTTGCTGTCGCCTTAGGCCACGTAGATGCCTTTCTGCTGCTGCCTGCCTCCCGCACGGGGGGCCCCACGTGCTTACCCAGCACTTCAGAGCAGCAACAGCAGCATCAGGAGGAGCAGGAGCATGAGCAGCAGGAGCATGAGCAGCAGCAGCAAACAGGGGCTCCTTATTTTTCTAGGGGTGAGCCAGTTGAGAAGGGGCCCCCTCTACCTAAGGGGGGCCCCAGGGGCCCCTTGCACCGTTTAGGTAATAATGGCATTGGTCCACCTAGTCCCCTTTTAATGGTATGGGACCATGCAGCAGGAGCGGCAGCAGTAGAGATGTTAGGAGGTATTGTTCTTGACTCTAACAGGAGGAGGGTACAGGCATACTGCTACCTTTCTCCCTTGTGTCCTCCCTCCTCTTTCTCTGTCTCCCCTTATGGCGCCTGTCTCCAGCAGCAGCAGCTGCTGCAGCACAAACAGGGAACCCCCCCTGCTGCTCCACAGCCCCCAGGGGCCCCTTCAATGGCCCCAGAGACGTACGGGGGCCCCCCTGCAGCATTTGTTTTAAGGGGTGGAGCTTTGGTTGCTGCTCGCAGTGAAGAGGCAGCTGCCCGCGGCTTAGCTGCTCTTGAGGCCCTAAGGACATAAATAATTATTTAAGTATTGGGGGCCCCCAAGGCATATACAATTATTTATGCATTGGGGGCCCCAGAAGGTATAGTTAATTGTTTAAGTATTGGGGGCCCCAAAGATACGTATAACTAGTTAAGCGTTGGGGGCCCTTAAGGCATAACTATTTGACCACTGGGGGTATGTGTATATATATATATATATATATACATGAATAGACAAATATAAATATATCTGTATACCTACAGTGTTTATGCCAAGCATGGGGGCTTCTTGCTGCCCGCATGCAGTAGTAGCAGCAGCTGCCGCAACAGGAGTATTTGGCCTTTCTGGCATTGCTGTTGCTGCTTCTGTTGCTACTGTTATAGCCTGCTGCAGCAGCCGCAGCAGCAGGCTAGTCTGCTGCTGAGGTAACGGTCAACGAAAGAGGGGACAACAGAAGAGGAGACATATCCGTGTCTCCTTATTTGTCTCCTTTAAGAGGCAAAGGAGACACTTGCGATGTAGACTGTGCTACAGCTACAGGTACAAAAGGGTAGCAAGCAGCAGCCGTAGATACTGCTGCTGCTTGTTGCTGCTGTTGTTGCTCCTGGTCACTGACGCCACTAGGTCGACCGGCCTGCGGGCCTTCAGCCACTGCTTTGCTGCTACCCGGATGGCTGCTGCAGTTGCTGCTGCTGCAGTTACTGCTGCTGTTCGTTCTGTTCTTGCTTGTGTGGCTGTCTTCGCTGTAGACGCTTGGGGGCCTCAAACTCGCGTGGGGAACCCACAAAGGGGGCGGGGCCCCATACGGTCCCGGGGGCCCATTCCTCCCCTTGCTGCTGTTGCTGCTGCTGCGGCTGCTGCTGCTGCTGCTCTCTACTCCGTATAGCTGTGTAGAGTGCTATGCATGTGCGGCCATACTTGCGGCTCTTGAGTCCCTCCAGCTCTATGGGGGCCCCTGGGAAGCCGATCTGCATGCAGCAGAAGCAGCAGAAGGGTGATAAAGGAGACCCATTATAAAGAGACAAGGAGATAGGGTACTAGGCACAATGCATGCATGCATGCATGCATGCATGCAGCAAAAGCCCCAAGTCTTACCCTAAAAGGCAAGGCGCCCATCTCCTTTGGATATTCAACTACCAGTACACCGCCAATCCGCAGCAAGCCCGAAAACAGCAACTTCTGCAGACGCAGCAGCAGCAACGCATGCAACGAGGAGACAGATTTAATGCTGCTGCTGCAGCAGCAACTGCAGCTGCAGCACCTGCTGTAGAGAGAGACAACCACAATCAGGAGGCAGACCCAGACAGCAGCACTGCTTTTGCGGGCCCAGCTATTCCAATTGTCAGCTGCAGCAGCAGCAGCAACAGCTGCAGCAACAGAAGCAGCAGCGGCAGCAGCAACAGCAAGACTGAACACACCTTCAGGAGGTCCCCATACACGACCTCGGTGTATGGGGGACAGAGGAACACCAGGTCAAACGACTCACTACCGTCGCCGCTGCTGCTGCTGTTGCTGCTGCTGCTGCTGCTTCTGCTGCTGTAGCTGCTGACATCGTACCCAAGGAAGCGCTTGGGGGCAAGGAGGAGCTCAAAGACACACAGCCGCAGCACTCGGCTATCCGCAAACCCTAAATGCCGCAGGTTTACTGCAGCAGTCTACGGAGCAACAGCAGCAGCAACAGCAGCAGAAGCGAAAGAGGGTTTGGTTGTTTGTAACTCGCATTTGCGTCTTCCTGAATGGCATCCCTGAGGCTTCGCTGCTAGGGTTTAGGGTTTATTAGGGTTTAATCGGATTTATTAGGGTTTAGGGTTTATTGGGGTTTAGGGTTTATTAGGGTTTATTAGGGTCTATAAAGGGTTAGGGTTTATTAGGGTTCATTAAAACTTAATTGGATTTAGGGTTTATTAGGGTTTATGGCGTATCAGGGTTTAGGGTTTATTAGGGTTTAGGGTTTAGGGTTTACCTCGCAGCAATCAAGAGAGCGATCTACAAGGACTGCATGCTCTGCCCCTCGCGAGAGGCTCTCCAATGCAAGGGCCCCACTACCACAAAAAAGATCTAAAACCCTAGAGGGAGAGAAGCAGCAGCAGCAGCAGGAGCAACAGCAACAGCAACAGCAGCAGCAACAGCATATAAGGAGACAGCAGTAGCAGGCGCATGTATTTTTATTCTCCAGATGTATTAGGGTTTATAACATTAGGGTTTATAAAATTAGGGTTTATAAAATTAGGGTTAATAAAATTAGGGTTTAGGGTTTATAAAATTAGGGTTTAGGGTTTAGGGTTTATAAAATTAGGGTTTAGGGTTTACCTAAGGCGGGGAATGGCGAAAACCCCCAAATCATGCAGCATGGAGAAGACAGCCTCACGGACCTAAAAGGAGACAAAAGGAGACAGTTAATTTAAAACAAGCAGCAAGAGCAGCAGCAGCAGGAGCAGCAGCAGCAGCAGCAGCGGTATGCAAGCAGCAGTAGCAGCACAAGAATCAGCAGCAGCAGCAGAAAAAGTATCAGCAGCACCATGAGCATCAGCAGCATCACCATTAGCCCCAGCAGCAGCACAACTACCATCATTATGGTCATCATCAGCAGCATTAACAGCAACAGCAACAGCAGCAGCAGCAGCAGCAGCAAGAGGTACCTGTGCCATCATAGGTCTAGTAGTATCTATACTTGGTGTTAATAATCTTCTTCTTTTATGTTTTCCTCCTGTTATCCTTAATACACCATAATCTATATTAGGTATAGGGGGTAAATTATCATAAAAAGATGCAGCTCCTCCTCTTGCTGCTGCTGCTGCTGTTGCTGCTGCTGATGCTGCTGATGCTGCTGCTGATGCTGCCTCTCGTGCTTCTATTGATTCTAATGAATGGCCTGATGCTAACTTTGCTGCTGCTGCTGCTGCTGCTGCTGCTGCACAGAATGGGTCACTATACAGGGATGACGACCTGGCTGATAAACCCGATTTTTTACCACCTGCTGCTGCTGCTGCTGCTGCTTCTGCTGCTGCAGCAGCCGCTGCTGCCTTTGCTGCACCAGAGAATGTCTCGTGTTGCGTTGCAAGAATCCCTGCAAGGCCTGCAAAGAAAAGCAGACACCCTAACAACTGCTGCTGCTGCTGTTGCTGCTGCATGCATGCAATAATACCCATACACCCATTATAAACACCCAAAGAAGATGCTGCAGCAGCTGCAGCAGCAGCAGCAGCAGCTGCTGCTGCACGTACTTCGCGATATCCGTTGTCTGCCTCGTTTTTTAGGGAGTTTAAATCTCTCAGGCCTTCGAACATCCAATGCAGCCTGAGGCAGAGGGCCCCAATCATTTATGCTGCTGCTGCTGCTGCTGCTGCTGTCGCTGCTGCTGCTGTCGCTGCTGCAACTGTCGTTGTTGCTGCTGCTGTCATTGTTGGAGCCAAGTGCCCACAGGATGCTGCTGACGCTGCGCCTCTGCTGCTGCGGGCAAAGGGGAAGAAGAGTGTTGCAGCAGCGAAAACCTCGGTTCCCAGCAGCAGCAGCAGGAGCAGCAGCAGCAGCAGCTGCTGCTGCTGCAGTTGCCGCGGCATCTCTAGTTTCTCCTGCTGCACCTGGGGGGTTTACACCCATACGAAAGCCTGGAGGGCAATAAACAGCCATAAACCCGCATGGTCTTGAGCGTTGGAAGGATCTTTTGCTGCTGCTGCTACTGCTGCTGTTGCTGCTGCTGCTGCTATTGGCGTGTCTGCTGGTAGGGAAAAAGGCGTCGGCCGTGGATATGTGGGGTTGCTGCAGCAGCAGAAACAGCAGCAACAGCAATAACAGAGGCGACAGGAGAGGCAGACTATGTGCCATTGTTATTGTCCCTCTGTAGCAGCAGCAACTGCTGTTGCTGCTGCTGCTGCTGCTGCTGCTATTTGCAGCAGCAAAGGTTAATGTTTAGCTGCAGAGAATCATTATGTCTATCGTATAGACAAGACACATCATCCTTATTAATAAAATATATTTATTTCTAATATTATTAACAAAGAAAACAGTACCTGGAGATCTGCTGCTGCTGCTGCTGCTGCTGCAGCCGCTGCTGCTGCTGCTATGAGGCCCATCGCTGCTGCTGCTGCTGCAGCTAACTAACTGCACACCGGCCGTAGGACATCTGCAGCACTTCTATAGGCAGCAAATTTATTTATTTACCTTCTTTTTAGTTTTTTCTTTTTTCTTTAGACCCACTAAGACCCAACAACAGCAGCAAGGGCAGCAGCAACAGCAGCAGCAGCAGCAGCAACAGCAGCAGCGCGGCATCGACGTATTGGGCCGCTGCAGAAATCGCGCGGTGTACAGACACCTCAGATTGCAGCAACTGCTCAGAGGCTTGAGTAATGCAACGAATAGAAGCAGCAGCAGCTCCAAGCCGCCGCAGCAGCAGCAACAGGAAGCCAGCAGCAGCACCGCAGCAGCAGCAGGCTCTCGACGATGTCACTGCTCCCCTCAACAGGAGCAGCAGCAGCAGCAGCGGCTAGGAGTGGGGCCGGCCGTCTTGCTGCAGCACAGAGGGGTGGGCCTCTATGCTTCTTCTCAACCTCCCTCCTACACCAGCAGCAACAGCAGCAGGTACAGCAGCAGCAGCAGCAACGACCCGTCAGTAGCATGCGCGGTCGCTTCAGCCGCAGCAGCAGCAGCAGCAGCAGCACATGGAAGACAATCTTTGGGTCTGTCTTTGGTGCTGCATTGGGGCTTTTTGCTGGATGGCAAGCGCATGCAGCATCAGCAGCAGCAGCAGAAAACTCTGCTGCAGCAGCTGCTGTGCGGCTATGTCCTGCACAGGCCTCTGCTGCTGAATCTACCAGCAGCAGCAGCAGCAGGAGCAGCAGCAGCAGCAGCGGCAAAATGTACACCAGAGAGACACCAGGAGGGAATATGCAGGTCTTTAAACCCCCTCAAGTGCAAGGTAAGGCATCCACGCTGCTGCTGCTGTTGCTGCTGCTGCTGCTGCTGTTGTTGTCGCTGCTGCTGTTGCTGCAGCAGCCGCTGCTGCTGTGTGTGTCTGTGCTGCTGCAGCATGGCAAGATTTCTTAAGGACAAGAGAAGGCTTTGTGTCCCTGCAGATCCTTGCGCAGCCACCTGCTGATCGTCGTACTGCTGCTGCTGCTGCTGCTGCTGTTCC